AGGATGGGAACATTGTTGGTGGGTGGCAGGACGAGATAATAGCTGATAAGCTGTTGTCACGTCCTGCCACCCACCAGCTTACACCTCAGCACCGGTGCCCAAGGAACAATGGTTAGAGGCTTCGTGAGTCAAGTATTCTATCCCTTAGCGATATGGTTAGACTGCTAAGCTCTCGATTTCGACGAAAATTAAAATCCCTGGAAGCTGCTCAACGGAAGTACTAAAATGTGAGAAATGTGAGGATATATCACCATGATATCGAAGTTATTACCATCAAAAGTCTTTCAACCGCTGAGCTGTCCTATTTCCAACGGATGGTGAGTGCTTCTTAGAAATGTGATAAGCTTCAGACATTAGCAAACGTTCATTAAATAGGAGAATCATAATGAAATAGGCCGTATTCTAAAAAACTGTAATCGGGCGAAGTGTTTGGGGTCAAATCCAGTTAGCGCAGTGCCGATCTTACCATAGTGACGCCGCCATAGTGCGCGTCAGCCCAAGCTTGTATATGATACTATATAATATATATATACTATTAATATATATATATATATATACTATATATAGATATATATATATATACTATATATATATACTATATATTATAATATATAATATATATACAGCGGGGCGCCAAAAAAACAGCAGTCATTTCGCGGCCGAGCCACATATTTCAACGCAGTTTTCCGCAGCCCAGACAGGGGGGAAGTGGATGATGCAGTACCATAGCTGGGAAGACTACCCAAGATCTTCCTCTATAAGCTGGAGCAGGCTTGCCGCCAAATCGCGCTTCATGCTACGCTCAAAAATATGAAGATCATCCTCCAGTCGCGGCCTGACTGGAGCAAACACCCTTTGCGAATTCACGTGCGCTCCACAACAGCTGGCGAACTTCTTGAATAAAGTCATCACAGCATAGCTACCGGAGGTTCAGTACTCTTGATTCTGCAAGACCTCCCACACTCGAGCAGCTACGCAATTGATGCGTTACAGGTCCAGGACATCACTCTTCACCCCATTCACGCAAGGCGTCTGGTGTTGATAGTGTGGACCGGCCGTTACCTGGAGATGGCATGACCGATATTTTTCTTCGCTGGGCCCCAGACTGACGAAAGTGTGGTGAGCGCTGCGGTTACATCGAGCAACGTCGAGAAGAATATCCTCCTACATGTCCGTCGCTCGTTACCTCCTTGAAAGAACGCTTGTAATCTGCCTACAGGTTTGGCGCTGCCAAGCACATGGAATCGAAGGGGCGTTGCGAACCAAACTGTTCCGCCCCCTACATTGGAATGCAAGAACGGGTTGAGCTACCTGGAAAAGCATGCGAGTATTCAGCCGGGGCCTAGAACTAAACCCCCTCAATTACTTGGTTCGGGCGCTGAGCTCAACGTAGGGTGTGTCTAGCGATGGCGGGAAAAATCAAACGATCTCGCTTCAACTTCCGCGTACCCACCTCCCTCCTTGGCCCCTCCCCCGCGCCGACCGATATCTCATCGACTGCGCTCCTCCAGAAGCCGTGGCGTCCCACGATCCATGTCAGTAGTATTAAATGTGCCCTTTAATATGGTCCAGTAACCCAAGCGTGTCCGGAGCAAGAACTTTAACTAAAGTGTACAACCCCCCGTACTAGCGCCTCTCGATAACGTCATCTGAGGCCAAAATGACTTTTTTTCGTCTTGCGCCCCCCCCCTTTATATTATATATATATATATATATATATATATATATATATATATATAATATATATATATATAGTATATATATATATATACTACATATCATTATATCATTATATTATATTACTCACTTATATAATATATATATATATATTAGCTACTATATACTACCTTATATATACCTTATATATATACGTATAATATAATACTATACTGTGTCTCCAGGCCGAGCGATACCAACGATGGTTCTCTCTGTATAAACAGGAAGCTGGCCTCACCGCCCACCCTCTTATGCACCAAAATATGAAGCCATCTCCAGTCGGAACCTGACTGGAGAAGACCTTCGGAACTCATGTCACCTCCAAACTGCTGCGAAACTTCTAGTATGGAGCCACCCATGGATAGCTACCTGGAGACCAGTACTCTCGATCTGGATGACCTCCAATATCGAGCAGCTGCGACAACGTCGCCACGGTCTAGGACATCATCTTCACGGCAGTCGCAAGACGCGGGTTGATGGTATGGACCGGACGCACCTGGAATGGAAAGACCAATATTTTCTTCATGGACCCCGGGCTGAAGCTGAGCGCTGGCGGTTACATCGACCAACTCAAGAAGAATATCTTCCCCACATGTCGTCCCCGTACCTTCTTGGAAACTTTGTACTGCTACAGCATTTGGTGCCACCACGTATAATCGAGGGACGTTGGAGGAACCTTCGCCTACCTGGAATGGAAGGGGGGCTGAGAACCTAAAGAAGATGGAATACCCAAGTAGGTCACCTGACCTAAACTCACTCAATTACCCGGTTCGGTCGGAGCTCAACAGGGTGGTCTACAGTGGCGGAGAAATCGACTATCTCGCTGATCTCAGGGACCACATCGCGGTTGCGTGCCAGAATCTCTCGATGGCGCTCCTCCAGAAGGCTGTGGCGGAGTGTCATAATAGTATTTAATATGCTCTTCAATATGGTGGTAGAAATTACTATCCTACACATCAATCTTGACTTGCCTTGACCTTGACCTTGACCTTGACGTTGAAACTGGACTCAAATTTCTACTTCTACCCAATCCTGAGCGGGTCCGCCTGCAGTGGTCGATGTGAGATCTCCCCATCGACGGGCTAGAACCCCATGCCAGCCGAGAGTCGTGCGTTCAGGGTATGACTAAAAGTAAACCACTAGTCACTGCCTGCGCAGTGACTACCGCTACCTCCCCTCTGGCAGCGCTGAGGTTAGGAATCACTCAGATCCCAGCAACGACAGAACATGACCGACCGTCCAACCGACCATCCGACGACAGCGACGACAACCCCCTGTCACCGCCCTCCGGGGCGTTTATATGCTCGTAGTAGCGCGAGGCGTGACATAGGAAAAACATCATGATTAGGGAGTTCATGACACTCCCGAGGCAAGCGAGAAGAAAAAGGGAACGCATCCTCCCCGCTGTTTCTGGGTAGTGTTTTTCTTTTCCTTGACGGTGATGACATGATGCAGTGACTTGACGAGAAATTATAATGCTTTACACCCGTTACAAAATGAAAGACATCAAAACAATACACCCAAGTGCACACTAAACGAACGAAGCTGCCGATGGCCCTGTAGAATCAGCGCTGCTAACGACGAAGATGGACTGTGCCGATCAGCCAAACGTCTCACCAAATAGTGCGATAATGTCGACACGAGGGCCAAAACGATGGTGTCTATTCTGTTTTTTTGTTTGAAACTTTGCTGTTATTGACGACAAACGGTTTCTTTGTTGCAACATTACATTTGATATCGTGTGATTATTTATTGCAATATCATGAAATAAGTGACAATTCTCGGGCTAAGTGACAATCTTCCAAGTGATTGAATGCGGTTAAATGTGAAGTAAAAGATACAATGTGAAGGAAAATTGACAAGTGAAAGTTGAAAAGAAACGTGAAGTTGACCTTGAAAGGAGTTGAACTGAAGTGAAGTTGAAAAGAAAATTGACAGTTGAACTTGGAAGGAATTGAAATGAGATTAGGATTCGGTGACAAGAACGCAATAAGGATAAGAAATGGATGAGTTGAATAAATTTGAGCTTGACAATTTGATTATAAACTTGACGGTATGATCAACTGAATAAAGCTGACATGACCATTGAAATTAAAGTCCATGTGAAAAGTTTGAAAAGGCACGAAATCGCGAAATAAATATTAAGATTGAGATTGAAAGTGAAAGGGAAGTGATAACAGTTGAAACTTGTAGGGACAAAAAACACTATGATGGGGTGGATCCCCTCTTCCAGTCGCCCTACAGTAAAAACAGAAACCTGCTTTGACGCACGATGTGGCCGTGTGATTGGCCCTCAGCAAGCATCACTCGCACCGGTTGCAATCAAAGAGCACATGTCTTCTTTCGGAAAGGGTGCTGAAGCGCTGACAGTCGCCTGCGTGGTAGTTACCATCACAGAACGCACACCGTAGTTGTTGATAAACTTCCTGCTGATGACTGGGACCAGGCTGGGGGGGGGGGAGCGAGCACGTGGCGGCGGAGGTGCTGGTGCCATGAGTTCCCGAAGCCGTTCCTCTTGAAGTAGAGCCTCGTATTGCTCGCACAGCTGCTCCATACCATTGAATGTCTTCTCCAAAGTCGTTTTCATTCCAATAGTCCTTTGATCTACGACGTGTAGAAGACTCTCATCACGTCGAAAGGTTTTGGATGATTTGGGCCGTGTGCTCGGTGGTTGGTCGAATTTGAACTTTTGGGTTGCCCGTGGTGTTTTGGAAACGCTATTGATTCGATTCTTGATCGCCGGAATCTCATCTGTCCTTGCTACTAGTCGGTTCACCTTACGGTGAATGGGCGAAACTTCTGCCAATTCTGGGTTAAACGGCGGCTGTTCGACGGCATGCAGGTCAGGACGAGGTGCTGGGGCTTCTGAACTTGATTTTGGTCCTCGTCTTGATCTGCTACAGGCTGACCTGGTTCCACGGGAACGCCTTCCTCATCCTTGCCGTCCATGGCCTGATGAGGCTCGTGCTAATCGGCCATCGCTGAAATGAAGACGTAGTATGAGAATCTCCTGCGACTATTATTCAATACCGTCAGGCCGAACGACATCCGAGGAGATTGGAGAGCCCTTAGATGTCTAGCAAGCTTAAACTAACGGCAAAACAAGGAAAGAAAGAGGTAAAAAGCTTGCTTATTTAATATCCTATTCTGCTGCCTTCTCTTGTTTGAAATTGAAAAGTTGAAATTAAACTTGAACATAAAGAAAAGCGTAAAGGAAGAAAGAAACCGAGGTTAATTGCGGAACGAAAGTTCCACGAAACGTTTAAGAAAGATGCGTGAAGCACCTACATAACAGAAAGATAATTCGCATAGGTAGACAGAGAAGGAGCTTCACTAGTCTGAGAAAAATTCTGAAGAAAAATATAACGAGACCGGTTGGTAGCAAAAGCCAGGGACTGTGGAAGCCGTTGAGGCTGTCGTTGGCTGCGCTGTTTTGGTTGCGCAGAGATATGTTGTACTGATAATGATGGCGCCTGGCAGGCTGATGAGGATGATTGCAGTAAAGATGTAGAACTGTTTGCAGATGTCAAGGAAATAAGTTTTATCGGGAAAATCCCAATCGATTTGAAAATGTGGATCGTCTTGAGGTGTATTTTGCCACACTCTGGAGTATTTCCAGAATGGTCTTACTCCACTGATATAATTTAACAATCCTTGAAGTTCTAGGATCGTAGTGTGAGAGCTGCGCTGAACGCGACACTGTTCTTTTACGCGTGCGTGATTGAAAAACAGTTTGACTTTGTTTACGTGTCCTTCTCTGGTGCATGTAAGTACGAACTGGCGTATGCCGCGTGTTACTTGCGCAATTGCGGCAGGCACATCTGATGTGCAGTCGAACGTAGCCACAGCTCCCTTAAAGCAGTTGTAGCAGCCGCTAAAACCAGTGTTTACGACATTGCACTTGAAATCGAGAAGGTTTTGTGCTATGTGAAGAAATTTTGGATTGAGAGTTATGGCTAATTCTATGGAAAAAGCGGTTGTATGAATTTGGGGTATCTTTTTGGGGCCAGCTGCTACTATTCCATTCGGAATCGGTAGCGGCAGTACTTTCGCTAATTGACGCGTTTGAGATATGTCATTTTGTGTGCAGTAGCATGACACCGTATCTTCTGCCGGGTTGCATTTACAAGTGTCTTTGGTACTACATTGATTGGTTAAAGTATTAGTGGTTGACGGCTTCGAAGTACAGGCATAACTGAATGTGGTGTCGTCATCCAAGTACGCGGTTGTATGGTTATCGGTGATGAACCTTTTATGTTATATTGAAGTCGGTGAAATTGAAAAGGAAAGTATTTGCAATTGAACGTAACCCATGGTGCCCATTGCGTATGGCTTGATCTCTCCTGTAAAGGTTTGCGATCGTATTGACCAATTTTGAGTTTGACTGTCTCATACGCGAGGAACATTGAAATACTTCATGCACCTTGTTGTCAGTGGGTACGTGTTAAATCCTATAAAACAGGCATCCTGAGGACGGAAAACCACAGAAACATCCCCATCCTCCACAGGACTCAGAGCAGTAGGTAAGTCCTGCAAAATTATTAGCGACGTCGAGTTCCTCGACAAGACTATCCGTTGAAATGCTAGCAGATTTCGGTCCTCTACAGGTCCCCATATGTGGGCACCTTTTGCGGGATTGAACTCGAGTTTCTGTAATTTGAGTGAAATAGAGTGTCTCCTTTTGACATCGTAGGACAACTTCTTCTACAGTAATTTTCATCAGTTGCACTTGAAGAGTGTCATGCGTGACCTGTAAACACAATTCCGATTGCATGGAGTTGAATTTGGCGTTGACAGTTGTGGTACTGGTACAGTTATGAGCCATTGAACTGCACTGGTTGATGTAAGACTGGACAAGTGCGACCTGTTGACATCCTTCGGCTGTTTGGGCGATGGTACTTATCGCTAATAGCCAAGTGAAAGTAGAGGTTCTCCGTTTTCTGTTACTGTCACTGTTGACTTCAACCAAGGGTACGTATTCGTTCGAGTGACGTCGTTGGAAATGCCTTTGTGAAAAACACAGTTTCTGTGAAATGAAGAGTCTGCTCCCTATATTTGTGCAGCATCTGCATAGTTTCCTGGCACCGTGGAAAGCAAGGCAAACTGTTATGAGGACAACATAGAGAAGAATTGCGGCCAGCACAATCGCCAACCGTGGCCAACATTCCGGAAGTGATCAGAGCTGTACAAAACGTACAGGTGATCTGTTCACAGAATGGGCTTGGGGAGCAAGCCCAATGGAATGTTTGTGTGGAATTTCCAAGCAATGTTTTGACCATTACGTGATAAAAATGAATTGTAACTTCTGCAGGAAACTGCACTCTGACGTTTTCATAAGGTTGGTCTATTTCTACACAGTACTCATTAGCGCAAACCTGTAGTCTATCTTGTGTTTGCAGCAGTTGTATGGTCACCCCTCCTTTTGAGCATTGAATTACGTTTTCTGTGATGTGGTTGATCTTTGGATGTACGCTGACCTGGAGGCTTGCCAGCAATGTAAACATAAGCCAGCGTTGCCAGTATGCGTTGGATGAATTCACACCCGCATTTCCGTTCTGTGTTCGCACTGAGTGTACTGTATGTTTTCTTGGCTTCGGCGTGGCAGCCACGGTTGAGTCCTTACGGCGGCATTGTCGTTTTGCGGGGCACGATCTCGCAATCGACCGATGAGCAGCCGTCGCTGTATTCCTTTGGTTCTTCTGCGCTCACGCTGTCTTGATTTGAGTTGAGGTCTTTGATTGGTCCACTTGAGTTGTGTTCCTCTATTTCCAGTGGAATAAGGATATTGATTGATCGCGTTGTATGTGATTTCGCTGGTTTGAGTTCTACTGATCCTATATCCGTCATGGTCTCGAATGAGTTTAGTAACTAAGCCTAGTGGCCATTTACCGCGCGGGGTATTCTCTTCCATTACGAGAAAACACCGCCAACATAGGGTTGTTTTCTCGTAAAGCTTTTCTGTTTGATAGGGGTTTGATGGAAATTTCGTAACTCCAGTAAATAGTGACTTGTCCAAAAGTTCCAAAGGTGCTGTAAGTAGTTGAGATGATGCTGAAAATGTTGAATGACCTCTTCTTTTGGAAAGTTTGGGAAGGAAGTTTGGATCCCTGTCTTCTTCTCGTTCATTATATGGAAGAAGATTGACATTTGCGAAGGGTTTGACATTTGCGTAGGGTATAATGAAATCGATTGGGCGGATTTCTGTAGGGTCCTCCACTGTGCTACCAGAGTACGTGAGTGGTCGTGAGTTGACCATGCTTCACACTCGGGTATCAAAGTAATGAAATCACGTTTCGGTATTGATTTCTTTCTTGTTATTTTCTTGAAGGATTTCATTACACCTATCATACTCATAGAATCCTCCTTTCCAAGGAGGAAGAGGTGTGATGAATTTCCATTTAATTTCTTGGTTTGAAAGGAAAATTTGAATCTCTTGAGTAGGAGCGTCTGTCCGATCACTCAGGCTTGCAACGAATTCTGATCCCAAAGTGAAATTTGTCGCGTTATCTGAAACTATGAGTGATGGTTTCCTTCGTCGAGCAACAAATCGGCGTGAACCATTGACAAATTCCATCGCGCTCAAGTTGTTGACAATTTCGAGGTGTATTGCTCGTGTTACCATGCACGTGGCGAGCAATACCCATCTTTTTTGTTCCGTATTTTCGCCCTCGAGTACCAAAAATGGACCGGCTAAGTCGATGCCCATATCAAAAAGGGGCGCGCGGGCGCTGTTCTTGTTAGCGGCAATGGCGGGGAATTTGGATAGAAAAGGGTTTTGAATTCTACTTTTTGCAGACTAGGCACGATTTCAGACATTTTTTGACTAATTGACGTCCTTTGGGGATCCAGTTTAGCCTTACATTGGCTAATGTTGAATTGACCCCTTGGTATCCACAACGAATGTGGATGCTTTTGACGAGGAGCTGCGTGAACTCATGATTTCCTGGAAGAATAGGCCCTTGAGTTTCCTTTGCTAAATGTTTGGTTTGAATTCGTCCTCGACATCTTATTAATCCGTTTTCGTCTGTATATGGTTGCAAACTTTCAAGTGTCGTGAGATTTTCTTTTGAGAAAGTTTTCTGCGCTATTTTTAGTAGTATTCTCTCGGCCATCGATAGATCGACGGCTTCTAATGAGGTCATGGGCGCGCCATCAGTCATATGTTGAAGTTCAAGTAAGGCTATTGATTTTTTTTCTTGATTTTCTTTCGAGACTTTATTATAAATGACTTGCTTGAGGAATCTAAACTAAGGAAAGAATCCTTTTATATTTCTGCATTGACGAATAACTCTTTTTGAAAAGTAAAATTTGAACATTTGTGTCAGATTTTGTCGTTAATACTGTATGGGGAGAATGATCTGCGATTTCTTGACTTTCCCCGCAGTAACTTCCTCTTGAGTTTCTTTTGAAGACCAAGAGAGCTCTGGTAGGCTGGGCCATTCTCATTCGATATTAAATAAGAAGAAAGGACCAGTTCACCACTTATGGTTTTTATCTGGCCTTTCGTTAACCCCTTCGTTGCGCAATCGGCGGGTTCTGCTCAGACGGTATTTAATGTAATGTGACATTTCACACCATCATCTGACCATTTCTGGATGGTTACGAATTTTTCGGCACCGATTGTTGATGAACGTTCCGTTATTGCTATTAGAATGAACCCAGTCAGGACCTACCTGCGAATCACTAAAAACATGAACTTTACTTATAGGTAGATTGACTTCTTGAAATATGAAGTTGGTCAACGTTGTCCCGATTAATAGTGCTAACAGCTCTAATTGTGGTATCGTCACGGTCTTTTAGTGATCGGTGCCAGCCGTTGTCTTGCCATCAGGAGGCTACAGCTGATCGCGCCCTCCTCACCGATGGCCCGTAAATAGGCTGCAGCAGCGAACGACCGTATCGATGCGTCAGCGAACACATGTACACATACTTGCTGTTTGCCGCAAAACTTGCGATCGCGCGAGGGACCGAGGCTTCAAACCCGGTCGCATGGTCACATATTGATTGCCATGCATCATGAAGATCGGGGGCAAGCATCATGAAGATCGGGGGCAACTCTTCGTCCCACTTATAACTGCGTTTCCACAAATCTTGAAGGAAGAGTTTTGCGGGTAACAGTATAGATATGATCAACCCCAAAGGGTCGAAGGTTGAATGCGCGGCTTGCAAGACCTTCCGCTAACGTTGGGGAGTACCGAAGCTTGCACTTTATTGAAAACTTATCTTTTCGATGATCCCAAAGTATTCCTGAGATTTTTATTGACTTACAATTTGACAGATCTTTCGGAGCTATTAATGATTACATTTTTCATCATTTGTGATGGATTGACGGAGATTCATCGTCATATTATTAAACACTTCTTTTGATAGTTGATATTTTTTGATGAGGGACTGTGTGGATTCGTCCGTGAGAAGTACATTATCCACATAGAGGTTATCGTTGAGTTGTGTTTGGAAGCTTCTATTGAGATTTGGTTGGCTATCGATTCCATACTTGATCGAAATGCCTAACAAAAATGGGGAGGCATTTATACCAAAGGGAAGCCTGCAAAAAACGTAGGATCCTAGGATTGTCTTTAGTTGGCGACTTTGAGGTATCTTGCAGCCACAGAAAGCGAATCGCATCTCTTTCCGTTTCTTGAAGGTGAATCATATGGAATGCATTCTCGACGTCCGCAATTAGTATTTTAGACTCTATTCTTGCTCTAATGAGCACACCACATAAATTGGGTAGAATAAGAGGTCCCTGGTGGATTACGTCGTTGAGGCTTAATTCACCTCTCATTTTTCATGATGCGTCAAGAACGATGCGCGTCTTTGTCGTGGAACTTTCTGATTTGATGACCGTCTGATATGGGATGTAATAACACGGCGTTGAGCTAGACACCTGAACCGTAGGTGCATCCTCGATGAATCCTTTCTTGAGCTGATCCTGAATTATGCTACAGTTCTCGTCTTAGCATTGAGGATTGCGCTCCTTCATCTTGAAAAGCTGATGAAGTCGGCTCAGAGCGAGATTATTATTGTTAGCAAGATTTTTTTTATTTGATCTCCACGGAAAACGGACAAAAATTTTATGATTCCTTTTTCAACTGTTGAATAGAAATCGGCCACGATCTGTTTATTTACTTCTTCATCGGAACTCGTGTCCTCGATTCCGATGGTAATGAGTTTCCACAACTCTGAAAGGTCCAGAGAACTGGTCAGAGAACTGTTGATGGGGTCAAAACTGGTACATGTCTGAACGAACCGTTCGTTGAAAAGGTCTTCCAACTGTCCGCCGTCCTCTTGGAGTACTCCCGATATCACAGGGCTGAAAAATATGGGTGTGACAAAGAGTCCAGAGGGGAGGCGGATGACCGGCTCGTTTAACTTCATTACGACGTTGAAGTAGTCCATTCCTATGAGTATTTCAGGTATACCTGTCCCGCTGATGGAGTGTGAGATCCGCTGCAGATCTTCACTAGGGAAATGTTTGCGAAGGAACACCTCATCTTGGGGCAGTAGTGACCCTGTTGGAAGTGGGGGTGTGATTTGATCGTTTGTTAAGAGCTCGACTTGGAAGGAGTCACCTTCCCTATTATAGAAGGACGTAATCACCCGTCTGACTTCCTTTTTCTCTGCTCGTCCTCCAAATGTATTAAACAATAGTGGTTTCACCTTAAATCTTGAGGCCTAATCTTCGAGCTAGAGAAGTTGAGATAAACGATTGATCAGAAGCTGAATCTAGCAGTGCGTACACGATTTCTTGATCTTTGTCTCGCATAGGCTGCATTTCAATAGGAACGATCATTAAGCGAACATTATTACTGCTAACGGAGGCTGCTGTGAACTCATCGTTAACATACCCTGCTGCTGTAGTATTTTGAATTTGCAAGTTGACGTTTTCGCTTGATTCTTTTTTGATGGAGGAGATTGATTGAATCGAACTATATGCCGAGAGTCGGAATTCCTTGAAGGTGACAGGGACTTAATGATGATGGGTTTCTTCCCTTGATCGGCTTGTTGCTGCCAAGCCGACGACCACTGAGGTGAGCTCGCATAGAGGGACTGATCTGAATTGGAACGTCGGCTTCTCTGGGAGAACTTGTTGGAGGAATAGCTTTGCTATGCATTTTTTCTCTAGGAAAGAAACTACGATGTCTGGGGTATTTTGACTGAGAGTTTTTTCGTCCTTGAAATTGTCAAGAGCGCCCTCGAGGGATGTTGGAATATCTTTCCGTGGCCGTCGCGAGCCTTGACGACATGAGGCGATGTTGTGTGGACCCCCACAGTAAGCGCAATTCTGCTTCCGGCAGAACAGGGTGTTGTGTTTGGGACTGAAGCACTTCCAACAGGCATTGAGTTGGCGTAAGCGCTCTCGTTTTTGCATCAAGGTCAAGTACCTGTTGCTTGATTCTTTTCTTGATTGTTCTTTATGCTTGTTGTTCTTGATAATATGTTGGACCGCTTCTGCGTTCAACATCCTGCTTGAAAGTGACTTCTTGACATTGAAGTTCAACTG